CTTGTAAAGATAAAGTGCATATTAGTATAAGGTTATGATTATTTTTCATTTTTTTTCTTTGAAACAACACTGATTATAATGTGTTGGTATGATAACAGATATGATAGTTTAGTTATACTTGTTATCCACGATGGTACAGTGTTGCCTGAGAGCAACAGCTGGATATGAAATGTTACTTTTTATTAAATACCAGTTGTGCAATAGATTAAAAACTAGAAAAATGTGTTTGTTCAAGTGTTTGGTTAAAGAAATTTGTTTTTAATAAATATATTTAATTTTCTGCATGAAAATGTCAAATGTTTAAATGTGCCCGTTATGGTACAATGTTGCCTTGAGGCAACAAACTTAAAAAATAAATAAATAAATAAATATACTAATAATGAAATTGTTTATTGATGTTGTTATAGTGTCCAATTTTAAATAGGAAAAACATCACAAATATTTTTTTCCTCATTGATATCATATTCCGTATAGAATATATAGAGGGATATATATAAAAACATACGCAGTTTACAATAAACAGCCTAAGAAAGGAGGACATGGGGTGTTATCCTGGTGTATTTACTGCTAGGCTGTGTGCTTCAGGTTGGTGGTTTTCTGAGAGAATGAGGGCCATGTTCATAGAGAAAGAGAGTTGGTGTATCTGTAGGGGGTGTGACTGGCTCTCCTCCAGACAGCCACAGCCCTTATGCTGTCCATGTGTTCACAATCTCTCTCTCACCTCTCATCCTGGCCAAGAGAGCAAAACAAAATGCAGGATTTTTAAGGTGGAATTCAAGGTCTTAGGTTTGATGCAATTTTCTTGCATTTCTTGCATTAAATGAGTCTGGTTGCTAAAATCCAAAACACATTTTGAAACACATTTTTCATTGAATTGAATCGAAATATTATTAATAATTAATTATTAATATTGGAAGCATTAAACAATGTATTATTATTATAATGTAAAATAACTATAATTTATTCCAGGAAAAGCTGAATTTTCAACAATCATTAATCCGGTCTTCAGTCTTCACATGATCCTTCAGAAATTATTCTGATACGCTGATTTGGTGCTCAAGTAAAATTTGTTATTATCAATGCAAGAAATGGCATTTGTTTAAAATGCGATAATTTTGTAACTAATAAATGTTTATTAGTTATATAATTGTAACTAATAAACTGTCTTTACTGTCACTTTTGTTCAATTTAATGCATCCTTGCTAAATAAAAGTATTTACTTATTTAAAAAAAAAAAGTCTTGCTGACCCCAAACATTTGAACAGTAGTATAAAACTGTTAAATGGAAAAAAGCTTTTGTATTCTGTTGAGAAATTAACAGCACATCAATTTCAAGTGACTTAAAGGGGTCATATGATGCTTTTTTTAAAGATCATTATTTTGTGTATTTGGTGTAACAGAATATGTTGACATGCTTTAATGTTCAAAAAACACATTATTTTTCAAATACTGTACATTATTGTAGGTCCTATACGCCCCGCCTCTCTCAAACGCTTTGTTTTCTACAAAGTCCCTCCTTCCGACAAGCACATGTGACATGTGCCAGCTGACCCAGTGCATTGTGATTGGCCGAACACCGCAAGCACTCGTCGGAAATGTAAAGTCCCTTACCATAATCGCGAGCTTCAGCTTTCAAAATAAATGTAAAGACAGAACCCGAAAGGGGAACAGAGTCGCGTGACACAGACAGTGATGAAGCTGGTATGTGTTTGCAGTACACAAGCCACGGGCATTGCTGTTCTGTTGTAAGTAATCTTAAAGATTCCTAAATGCATCTACTTTCGGAAGGCCAAATAAAGTGCTTTTGCTTTCGCCTAGAAACACACAGCGTCTCCCTGACATGGCTGCTTCAACACTAACTGCGGTTATTGAAACCACGCCGCCTTTCTTTGCGTGCATATTTGGGCGGCATTATGCAAATATTTCCGCATAGTGAGGTAGATATGTGGGGGCATGTTAGAACAAGCCGTTTTAGGGGGGCGTGGCAGAGTCTTAACTTTGATAAAGAATATCTCTTTGGTTTTGAGACTTTAGTCTTTCCAACTTCAGGGATCTTATCTATGCCTCCAGGAATGTGGTTGGGAACCACTGGGCTAGACCAATACCTAGTGATTTATAATGTTCATGCCCTTCCTCTCTCTATTTCTGTGTTTGAAGAAGACTTCTACTGCCCAAATTGCCCAAAGAATTTGACGCATCACCATGTTGTCATTTGTGGACATGTCTTGTGACTGCAAATATTTGCTGATGACACAGCAACTCAAAACCTCTCTTTCACGCTTCTCCATTTCTGTTGCATTTATTGTATATTGATTAAAATACCATATACTTCAAACCAAGGTGAGTAGTGTCATTTTATGAAGAAAATGAAAGACTGCCGTATCTGTACATCTTTCCTTCGTGAAGTCATTTGTGTGCCGAATCGGAATGCAGCCTGTTGTGCTTGGTTGTCAGCCCGGCCCTATTAATGATCTCCTCCATTACCATCACAACCGTCTCCCCTCAGCATCCTCTATCAAAAGCCTCTGCTTCAGTCACCTTGACACTAGCCCCCCAGCAACATCCTCCCAGCCATAGATGTGACTGCAGTTGTCTGGAGGCAGTCAGCTCTTGTTAGCCTCTAGCGTATAAACACATGAATAATGTTTGGGTGCCTATAGTTGATGATCTCTTGAATGGAGACCTCCATCTGTCAGTCCTTACATCACATTATTACTGTTGATTTTTTTTTTCTCTTGCTTTTGATTTAAAGATATCATGATGGACAAATTTCATCATTTTCCCCACTCTACACAGTTTTTTGAGGCCTTAGTGCTCCTCGACTTTCCATCCTTAGGCCACAATGGGACTTTTGTTTACCTGATTTGCCTGACAGACTGCTCTCTTCCAAACTGAAACCATTCTGTTGACAGGGCCGGATGCCGTCTGTGTTGAAGTGAGTCAGGAGTTTTGTGGTAATACACGTGGTTCATGACCTGATACTGCATCTTTATGTTGACTGGTATGAAAAACAACATCCAGCCTAAATAAAGAACTCAAAATGATGTAGAAGATCATTGAAATGCTTAAATAAACCCACGTCGACTTTATATTCCACACGGAGGGCCAGGATGTTTTTGGCCTAATTCCCAATCTCGTAAATGTCGACACGTATACAAATCACTCATGGACCGGCCTGGAATGGACCGTTAGTTCACCAAGAAATAAATAGATGGGGAAAAGTAAAGAGAGGGGGCAATCTCTGGAAAATTTATTCTGACCTTCAGCTTGTTTCGAGTAGAGGGCAAACATTAAGATTGCTCGATTTCCGAACAGGACCCCGCTGATAGAGAAATATTTGGTCACAACGATGCTTATGAGCAGGACCGGATGCAATCTGCAGGCTGTTTTTACTTTTTTGGTTGGCTGATTTTGAGGGAGAATGGTTTTAAGAATAGTTTTAAACATGGTAAAATGTGCTTAACGCAGCTGAGAGTGCTACATTAAAGGCATAATCAAATTGTCCAACTATTTTATAAATAAATATGTAATGGACTAATCTGTAAAGTAAAAATGAAAATCATAATTTGCTCACCCTCATGTCATTCCAATCTTACATGACATGCATACTTCTGTGCAACATAAGATATTTTGAAAAAATTTTTTGTACATTTTGTACAGTGGGGTCCAAAACAACAGATGGACTTTTTATAGTGTGGACAAAAAACTGAAATTTTTTTAAATATCATATTAATTTTTTTTAAATCGCATAGGTTTGGAACAACATGAGGGTGAGTAAATGATGACAATTTTCAGTTTTGGATGAACTATCCCTTTAATGAATAAGTCAATAAGGATCTTCCTCCACATGGCCAATCTCTTATTGTATCAATCCTCTGGTTCTTATCTAAAATCTCAGGTGCTAGCTTTCTGTTCTCTATCCCCCTGGAAGCCTTGCTGCAGTGTCAATCATCAACAGGCTGGTCAATCGACAGCTGCGTCTCTGAGGAACAATGCACACACGCTCTCGCCCTCTCCCATGTTCCTCTGTTGCATAATTTATTTAGCGATACTGACAAGATTCAGTGTTTTTTCAAAGAACTGCTGCTGGCAGAGAGCAGTCCATCATATCTGATCTGTCTGCAATTTTTAGCTAAGTCAGGGGAAGAAATCACAAGTATGGACAGATAAAAGAGGAAAAATGACTAACCTTGTTTCAAAATGGTTTCTGTGCAAAATCCATTTAAAGAAATTTCTATTTAGCCTAAACCCTCCCAAACCCCATGTGCTAGTTTCTGGTTGATTAAAGCAAAGGCTAAAACTCATTCAATATTCTGGGCTTATCGGCTACAAGCACTCCCAGCTCTCAACACTGATTAATTGTTCCGCTGCTCCTATAAACCTTGACACACATATCCATGATAATCCACCTGAAATGCAGAAATATCTGACTGCTTTTATTGTGTGTGTTAAAATAATAACCCCATGAACGTGTGCATTGGCTATTCCAACACCATCTACCACAGAAAGCACTGATGAAAGTTGACATGGCATGGAGAGCGTTTTAAAATTCATAGGTGCCAGCCAGGTATTCTTAATTGTTTCCATATTAAATGAATCCGGGTGTGCGATTAGTTGGCTTGCTGTCCTTGCCACTTCTGAGGTGGTTTTTTTATGACTTTCTGTTTTGAATTTTGCATGCAAAAAAAATGGCACTGGCTACTCATCAGTACAACTTATTTGTCTGCAACCACTATGGTCTAAAGCGCAAACAGGCTACAAATAAGGTGGCACATTGAATGTCAGTTGAAAGAACTTGTTTCAAGTGTGTGATCAATCACTGATTCAAAATACCTCCTTTGAAGGTATCAGAGAGCTAATTTGACTTCATGTTGGTAACCCAGTGTATTTATAAAGAGATTTGCCTTGTGTTTAGTAATAGTTCATTAGCACAGAAATGTAAAAAGTCAAAACTATACCTTTTATAAAAAAATAATAAATACTGTTTGTTTTTTCTGCAGGCCTCTCTGGTAACCCTGCTGATTTGGAAAAGCGTCACACGGCGTTCGGTAAAAACTTCATCCCCCCCAAGAAGCCCAAGACCTTTCTGCAGTTGGTATGGGAGGCCCTGCAGGATGTCACCCTCATTATTCTGGAGGTGGCAGCCATTATTTCTCTCGGCCTGTCCTTCTACCACCCACAAGGGGAAGGCAGCGACGGTAAGTAGTTGCTTTAAAAAGTTTTTAATAAGTCTGTTTCAGTATTGTTTGGATTATTTTCCTACACTCAAACTACCTTTATAAGATGTAAAAATAACTGAAATCATTAATGCAAAGTAAATGGAAGTATACTAATAATGTTCCTTTTAGTATACAGTATTTTATATAGAAATAAAAATATTTCAAAATATATGATAATATAAATGATAGAAATTTAAAGTTTTAGTATTCATTGAGCATCATAATGGCTGGTAGGAAACTGCAGAACACTCTTAATACTGTACCAAACAAAGTCAATTTCCGTAGTTTGAAGTCTGGTGCTGATTTGTTTCTTCAAGTTAGAGAACCATGGGACCCGACCAGATTTTTTGCGCCACGGGATTAAATTCCCGAATAAAACGCTGTAGCAGTCGGTAACTCTGGTGTAATTTGAACGGGCGGTCTAACAATATCTCGTTCCCGACGTCCAATTAGAGCAGCATTTCTGCGCTTTATTCTTATTCACCACCAGTACAGCTTGCGCTCAGGACTGTTATGCACGTGCTGGACGCATGCTTTAAACATCACGTGTTTTATTTGCGTGGTCTGTGCACAGCATGTGCATAACGATGCTCAGAGCAGGTTGTACCTGTAGTAAACATAGAACAGGCAGGTTGTCGATGAGTGACCGAGCAGAATTAGGATGGGTCAAAGTGAGGATGCGCTGTCCTTGAAGGACGTTCAACACGGTTTTGTTTATATTTTGCTTAGCCTATAATTTAAAATGAAAGATGTCGTATTTGTTTATTTTTCTCTGCAACACTTTTCCTACTGTTAACAAAAAAGTCAAACAAATTTTGTATTTTGACAAGACGAATAAAAATAGCTAATAGGCTATTTTTGTACAACCTACATTTTTATTATTTTTTCTCTCTGCGACACTTTTTCCCTATTGTTTTGTCAATGTTAAACGTATTGTATCCTGACAAGACGAATAAAAATAACATTTTTGTACAACATTTTTATTTTTTCCTACTGTTGCATAAAATATTAAACAAATTTTGTGTCTTAAGATAATTCATATAAATTCAAGTCAAAGTCAATAAATTCAAGACTCTTGACGAGACGAATAAAATAACATACAATTTTGTGCAGACTACACTTTTCTTTCTTTCAGTAACGGAAATTTAAATGTGAGATTCTGAAAATTAGATCTAAATTTAGCGGGAAGGGTCGGTGCGAAATAGAACCTTGCAGGAGCGGGACTAAAAAACAGTCCTGCGCAGACCTCTACTTCAAGTAGCAGATGCTAATATGTTGTTTTGCAGTTTCAGTACAGATGTATTTTCTTTCCATAACAGTCTTGCTTTAGTGACAGAGTTCTGCTAGTTCCTGAAGTGATTGCTTATCTATTATTACTGAAACAAAAATTAAAATGACATTAAAAACTAAATTTTAACTAGCAAAACTATGATAAAACCACTTATACTAAAATTAGAAAATGGCAAATACTAGAGATCAACCGATATATCGATTTACCGATATTTTTCCTGCTATTTAAGCATTTTACAATAATCGGATATCGGTTTTGTAATATCGGATTCACAGATAAATGCCGCCATCTTGTGGATGTTTTGAGAATTGCACGCAGGATCACCATTGCAGCGGATCTGAGAGGAAACAAGACAACAACAACGGCGTGCCCGGGTACTTGATTTACTGTAGTTAGTAAATATTATTTAACATAACAGCCATTAATGCACAAATTAGATGTATTACATAAAAGCCTGATATGCAGTTTATGCAGCTTGGCTCGAAGAAATAGAGGCGAACTCACGGAGTCACGTAAAATAATCTGTCAAATCTTGTCCCAATAAAGACGTAACTTTGCGTGAATTAAATAATATGCAGCCATGAATGGGCGCATGTTGGAAATAAAAGTGCTGAATTTAATTCACTCTTTGCTGTCTATATGCTCATCGTCTCATAAAGTCAGTCACGTAGGCTAAGATAATCCATCGAGTCCTCTCCCAATGAAGACGTAACTTTGCATTAATTAAATAATACAGCCATGAATGAGCAGAAGTTGGAAATAAAAACGCAAAATTTAATTCTCTGTCTGTTGTCTATGCTCATAATTAGTCTCGTGAAGCCGCTTTCTTATTGCTGTTCACTCACCGGGTTGATGCTCAGGAAATGCTCCAGCACGGCCACCTTATGTACCTTTTAACAAGATTCACTTGTTTAAAACACCCTAAATTGTATTAGCATTTACTATATAACCATTATTTCGCTAATAAACATCTACATTTTTATGTGTAAATGCATAGATAAACTGCGCTGGCAGGCGTTTCATAATCTAGAACAACAAAACCATTATTAGTAATTCTGATATAACATGCCAGTTGAGAAATGCAATAAAATACGATGTTTTGTTTGTTACATTTCAATATTCCAGAGAATATTATTCAGTGAATTAACATTATCCAGTGAATTATTCTTCACTCTTTAGCCTATTAAACATCTTATAAATCTACTAAAACTGTAGTTTAAAATGAAGTTGATGTGACTCCTTTCCTTTATTTATTTTCTCCATTTGAAAACATTAGACCTTCTACATTTATTTTGCTTATTGCTAATATTAGTGTTGCTGCTGATGCTTTAAATAAAATGTTTTTTATTGTTGTAATGTGAAGATTGAGTTTAACATGAAAGACTGCTAATTTTCAACACTTTTTTTTAAGATGACTGAAAGGAGGAAAAACCAAAGTGAAGTATGGACTTACTTCACTCGGTCATTTATTTACTTTATATGTTATAAGGTTATCGGGCACATAAACATGCAAATAATTGGTATCGGTTATAAAATTTCAATATTGGTCAATCAATATTGCATCACTACCAAATACACTACCGTTCAAAAGTTGGTAAGATTTTTCTAATGGTTTTGAAAGAAGTGTCTTATGCTTACCAAAGAATTTATTTCATTAAAAATAGTTTTTAAAAAAAGCAATAATGCAATATATTGTTACTACAAATTAAAATGGCAATAATGCAAAATATTGTTATTACAAATTAAAATATTTGTATTCATTTTATTAATTATAATTAATTCATTGTACATTTATTCCTTGATGTCAAAGCTGAATTTTCAGATGAATTTTCTCCAGTCTTCAGTGTCACATGAGCCTTTAGAAATCATTATAATATCTTGATTTAGTGCTCAAGAAGGATTTATTTTTATTATTATCAATGTATAAAACAGGCGTGGTGCTTAATACTTGATGGTAACTTTGAAACATTATTTTTCAGGATTCTTTCATAATTATGAAGTTGACAAGAACAGCAACAGAATAACATTATAAATGTCCCGACTGTCACTTTTGATAATAATGCATCCTACCTTAATAAAAGTATTTCTTCTCAAAAGAAAAAAAGAAAAGTTCTAATCCTAAACTTTTGATCCCAAACTTTTTTTGAATAGTCTTAGTTAGGTTCAGGTAGCTTTGGATCAGAAGCTCTAATGATCTAAGGAAAGCTTCTGGCTTTTCTTTACTGTCCAGAAACCAGTCTATTGTTTTTCATTTTGATTCCGACTTTATAAGTGACTCAACATTTGGCATCTTATATTTTAATAACAGCCTCATTTGGGACTTTTGTTGAGAAGCACAGCTCTGAATTCCTGGAGAACTTGAATTTGGCTGTGACTGCAGGCTCTTCCTATTACCCATATGGCTCAAACCACAAGGATGACATTAGACAGTCATCAAGTTCTCCAGGAGGAAATTAGGTCAATGAAGTGTAATTCTGTGATAAAACATGTTTCTGGCAAGAGAAAACTTTCCAAAGAGGAGACTCTGATAAAAACATGAGTGTGCAGCAGCTGTTATTGCTTGGACACTTAATGGTCTCTAAAGGTTCTATGAACCTGTTTAAAGGTTACATTTAGTTTAGATTGGCGAGATACGGGTCTTTTGCACAGGATGTTGTAAGTGATTGATTTGCTCTTGGTGTTTTTATGTAATTCCAGACTGTGGCCAAGCATCTGGGGGTGTTGAGGATGAGGGCGAGGCCCAGGCAGGCTGGATTGAAGGTGCTGCCATCTTGTTCTCAGTCATTATCGTTGTGCTGGTGACCGCCTTCAACGATTGGAGTAAAGAAAAGCAGTTCCGTGGGCTGCAGAACCGCATCGAGCAGGAGCAGAAGTTTACGGTCATCCGCAAGGGTCAGGTCATCCAGATCCCAGTGGCTGAAATCGTTGTGGGAGATATTGCACAAATCAAATACGGTGAGTTCACGTTTGAGAACAGGAAATACATTGTAAACCTGTTGATTTATGTCTACAGTGTGACGGAACTAGATGTGAATCCAGTGATCTCTGCCATATTTGTGTTTTATGAGTGCTGCGGCATTTATAAAGCATAGTTTTCTCCCTAGAAACCTTTGCCTTTGTATTAAACCTCAGAGGCGAGTTCCTCATTGAATTCACCAGCGGTTTTGATGGATCATATGTGACTGCCAGTCTTCTCTGAGACACAAAGCATGGCTCATGACTCATGCTTACCAGCTTGTGTGAGTCACTGCGCTGCTGCTCGTGGTGCCTGAATTGTGGGCGATGCGTGGGTTGTCCAAGAGCCACAGGCGAGATCTGTCGTCATGGTCGCCAAATCAGCCTCTGCTCCTCTCCTTGCGCTGAATTGCTGAATGTGTCTTTCTCTGTATCTCTTCCTCTCTCTTAAAGTCATCCCTCAGTCATTCACCACCCCATGTTCTTTTCCATCAGGTGACCTTCTCCCAGCTGATGGTATCTTGATCCAGGGTAATGACCTGAAGATTGATGAAAGCTCTCTGACTGGGGAGTCCGATCATGTTCGCAAATCTCTGGAGAAGGATCCTATGCTCCTTTCTGGTGAGATAGATTGTCTTTTTTTCCTTGGTTGCATCCGCTTGTTAACATCTGTTGTAGGGTGTGAAAGAGACCACAATCTAGGATTAAACATGGACATAAAAAACAAAGTATTAGGATTTTTAGAAAAGGAAAAAAAATGTAGAAGACGGAAAAAAAAGTTGTTTAATGAGATGTCAGCTTGAGTGCTGATGTCATTAAAAGCAAAAATAAATATGTATTTTTTTATATTATCATATTTTTTGCTCTCCTGTCAAATTATTATTCTTGTAATATAATTTGTAATTTTAAAATTATATTAAATAACTTTAATGGAATAGACATGAAGGCCCTACTTTTTTTTTTTTTTTTTTGAAGAATTGGAATTTAGAATGTAAGCAGTCATTTAGCACATGCTTTTATCCAAAGCCACTTAGAGTACACTACAGAAACCATCTCCCTGGAGCAGCCTTGCTCAAGCATACAATCCGCTTGTTAAGGTGTGGGGGGGGGGCATTTTTTAGACATTTTTCACAAATATATAATTATCTCACCTAAATGTTTGATCATGCAGTGCATTATTGTTTTTACAATGGGGCGATTACTGCACAATAGCTTACACACAGCACAAGCCTGATTTTGTGAGATGTGAGGCGACCTTATGTGTGCGCTTTGAGTGTGCATGAGCACACCGCTCTCTTGGAGAGCGCGCGAGTGCTGAATGGTTTAAACACTGGCAAGACTTAAAAAGAAATGCAAATTATAAACTTTAGTGACGATGCAACACTGCCTCGATTGTGCAAGTAACAATTCCTGTGTCAACTGCACAGCGTGCAGCTCACTTATAGTACAGACACGATGTGGGAATTTGAAGCCATTTGTGCATTTTGAGAGGTAAAGGGAGAGAGTGTGTGGTGATTCACTCATGCTGTTTGTGAAATTACGTCTCATAGAAAGTTTTCAAATTACTTAGTTATTTAATAAAGAAATATGAATTGTACCTCACCTTCAGCATTATAATTATTTTGCCTGTGCTGGACAGAGATTGAGATGGTGCTGCTGCATGTGGCGCATCGTCAGCTTGAGATCTGTTTATGAGATCAGCCTTTATAGAGACCGCAGATTAAACTTCCCAAAGCGATTATCGGCCGATAGCGATCGGTAGCCAATCAATCGGAGCACCCCTAATTTTAATGAATCAGAAAAGATGAATCACACTTTGGCCAACTTATATTTTAGGTGTGGAGATGAGGTTGGGATCATGCTTTTTCGGTAGTACTACATAGCATAGTACTAGTAGCACAACGTGACTGGATCTTAGTATTGTTTGTTGATTGCTTTTGGGATTTGAAAGAGCGTTTGGACCCGGAAACAGTGGCTCATGATGTCAGACTTAATACCTACCTCACCAACCTTGAGCTTTAGCAACTAGTCTACACCACACTACTGTCAGTGTTTTTTTTTATTTAGAAATAACAGTTTATTAATATTAATCAAATGGTAGTATTGACTAGAAAAATCTAAAACCACTCACTGAGTTTAATTAGCTTTATCATCAACTTTACTCGGTTATGTAGAAAAACATTCCTTTCTTAATTAAAAAAAAAAATACTTGAAGACTGTTAATTGCAATTAAACATTTTTTTGTATTAATATATAGATTATTTAGTTAATGTTTGTTAATATTTAACAATTAAAAAAAATGTCAGTTTTTGTTATGCTAGTTGTTGCTATGATATTGAAATTGCTATCAAAATAATGAAATTTCAATGATATTGGTATTGACTGGTATCTACTGGTATCGTGAAGGCTTTTCTTTTGCTTTCTAACAGGAACTCACGTGATGGAGGGATCTGGCCGAATGGTGGTCAGTGCCGTGGGCCTGAATTCTCAGACTGGAATCATTTTCACCCTTTTGGGCGCCAGTGATGAGGAGAAGAAGAAGGTGAAGAAAGGTGAGAAACTAACATACTTTCATTCTCATTTGGATAACTCCCTCTCTCTTTGAGTGAGTAAACAGTCTACCTCTCTGTTTGGGAGGTTACCTACCATCAGCCTGCCAGAGGTAAGAGCTATTTATATGATTTGCTGAATTGTCTTCCTCCCCCAAAACGCCAGTTGCTCTGAAGGTTGAAATTTGCCATTTATTTGGGGAATAATCACAGTATGTCAGTGAAGACGTACAATGTCCCTTGAGTCACTTTCCATTGTACTAACTCTTTTATCTTAAATATTTAGTTTTTCTAAATGTTTCAGTTAGCTGAATTTGATCTAGTTATTTCTAATTGGCTAAATGTATTATTTAAAAGAAAAAAAAAATTTTTGTAAACATTACACTCATAACACTGAGATGGTTATGATAATTGAACAGTCAAAGAAACAGTCATACCTGTCATGTTATTCCATCTCCAATTCAGCGTGCAGTATGTCCTTACTGCATGCACTGGTCCTCCAGGGTATGTCAAAAAAAAAAACACCTGCTGTCAGCTCACAGTGTCTCTTTAATGTTCCTATTTGTTGGGTTGTAATTCAACAGTCAGACTGGTCTAAATGGTTTGCTGTCTCACTGCTAAAAGAGCAGCTCTAAAAAGCCAAGAGCAGCTCTGAAACTTTGAATATTTAGATTCCTTGATTTTTGTTAGAATGACAATTCAGTCATCGTCTTTTAGTTAGATAATTGTCGTAATTTTCCCTTTTCCCTCATGTTCCAAAAATATCTTTGTCGAATGTGTTTGCCAATGAAAATTGAGAGACCTGCTTTTTGGTTTCAGCCAAACCCTGTTGGCATTATCACAGTTTGTGATGCAAGTGAACAAAAAATTGGAAATTTATGAAACCGCTAAATTGTAATGAGGTTTTGTCAGCTGTATGCCACAGTCAAAAACAATGACCGAGCCGTCAGTGTACCCTGCATAAAGCCCCTCAAGTCCTTGTCTTTTTCTATAGATGACACATCCAATCCCACATATACTCATGTAATGTAGTGTTACTTATCTAGTTTTTATTCTTTTGTTATTGTGTTTCTTTCTTTTCTTCTTCTGTCTTTGGTTTATTTACTTTTAGCCATGTAATATCAGCCCTCCGCCCTCTCTCTCTCGTTTTAAACAGGTAAAAAACAAGGACCCCCCGAAAATCGCAACAAAGGTAACCTTACCCACTCCCTCTCCCCTCTCCTCCTCCCCCCTCCCCATTCAGCAGCAAGTCTCGGAGTCTCGTGTCAGTCCCACTCACTCACTTGCTCACTTTCTCTCTCTGTCTTTCTTGCTGTTGCTTACCCCTTCCTGCTGAGCCCAGGGGAGCTTCTTGCCTCGCTTTACCTATCAAAGGGTGCAACTCTCACCTGCTGGAAACGGCACTAAGCAGCCAGAAGACTTTGCAAGTCCGCAGCTCCTCTTTATACAAAGTTTGTCAGTTGCTATAAATAATCAAGATTAATCTAAAATTTGTTAAATGTTTTTTTTACGTCATTCTTACATTTTTCTGAAATGAATATATACTTAAAAAAAATAATTTTCTCAAATGTCAATGTTCACTTCCTTTTTTTTAAGGCAAGAATATTATTTATAAAAGTTTTCTTTTTTTATGCCATAGTGAGAGATGCATTGCAACAATGGAAAAAATTGCTTTTTTTTGTCTAGATGAACAAAGTCGGTGACTAGAGTAATTCATGGTTGGACAACTAGTCGACCATCCTACTCATCCCTATTATATGCAATGTTTTCTGCTCGTAGATAATATTTTGGCGGCCATACTTTGATATTTAATTTCCACCATAAAAACTTCAAATGCCTTTTGTTTAAAGGACTGGATTTGATAAACTTAAACCTTAAACGTATTGTTTAATATCATACGTGAACATGTTATCATTGGCAACCCTAATGATTGCATGTATCAATTTGACTTCTGTAGATCTAATTTTTCATTAATGTGACATTTTAGATGTCTCTCCTTTTCAGAAGGCAAACTTTCTCTGTGTGCCTGGCCGGGTCATCTGCGAACATTTGTACTGTGTTTCAGAGTGTGCCCACTCTGCCTTGGCTGACCCCAACAACCCCTCCCCTGCCCCACCCCCTGTAGCGCTCAGGGACTGAGCATCTGCTCCAGACAGAGCTGCTCATTTTGTCTGCACAGATCTCCTTCCTTTTGCCCTTGGTCTCAAGCACACAAACACTTACACAAGCTGGTATTGGTTTAACACTGAGTATGTAAATGCAATGTCTTCCCCTGGTCTTAAAGTGATGGCCAAAAAGCTATTTAGGAAGATTTAATCATGTTCAGGTCTTGCTCCATGGTATGATCTTGTACAAAACACCCACTTTTCACAATCTAATCAATTCCTGATGGATAAAATGAAGTCCTGCCTTTTTTTTAATCATTGAATGTCCTGTTTCACTCTGAAATATATAGCAAGAACAGTGTGTTACGAACAGGGCCTCATGTTGACTTATTAATTGCTCCTATTCAACCATGAGCTTTTGTGCAGATACACATTGCCCAGTACAATGTGTTCACAGCTTCATAGATGGTTTATGATGTGAAAGTAATGCTTAGGGGCATGGCTTATGTGGGAGTTGCACCCTTGCAATATGGACCGGCTGTGGGTTGTTGTTTCTGTCCGTTTCTTTACTTTAGCTCTTTGTTTTTCTCACTGTTGCTTCTTTCTAGGGTGTGGCTCAGGACTTCATGCTGTCTTGTACACTCTTCTCTTGGTCAAAATTTGACCTTTTCTTTCTCCTTTACCCTCTTTCTCTGGTACCCCACTCTCATTTGGGAGTGGAAAAATAAACCAGAATCTCTCTGATCTTTTTCGTCTTCCTTTTGGTCCTTGTTTTTCTCGTGGTGGTTGTTTATCTGGCTGTTTGGACCGTTTTTGTAAATTTTGTAATTTTGTTGTTTGTAAATCACTCTTGTTCGTCGTGCGTGCCTCTGTTTGTGTTGTCAGTCAGACAGTCAGTCCGTCCATCAATTCCCGATTCATGTGTGGTTGTTCTGGTCAGCTCTGTCAGTTCTGGTCAGTTGTTTGTTGTGACTGGTGGTCAGGTAGGCTCTTGGACTGTTTCTCAAACTCCACCACTGCAGAGTTTCAGCCTGTTGCACACCATGTTTGAGATGATACATAGGCTAACTGCAAAATGAAAATTACTTGGCCTCTTTGTATCTTTTAAAATGGAGACTTAATGGGAATTGGGGGTGAGGGATCAATGTCTATCCACAGCAAAGTGGCAGAATTGGATCTTCGACTTCGACCTTTTTAAAAAAAAAAAAAAATTTTTATGTATTATTTCCTTATGTCTATTCCAGTTTGGTACAGTTAATCTTAGTACAATATTGCACAAGTTCAGTAAGTTGCTTTTAAAAGTGAATTGAACGTCAGCATATGCAACTATCAGAGGGGAGCCATGATGGCACAGTAAGACCATATAAGAGAAATAAAAGGCAAATTTAGTTTAGACTAATCAGCTAATTAAACGGTCTTCAAACCAGAAAGAGATTTCCATTGCCAATTTAAGAGAATTTATAAAATAAAAAAAGTAGATTATGGGTTGAACTTGAATATTTTTTCAGGTGTACACACCTAATATTTATAATTGTATTGAGTAGCTCATTGTCCAGTGCCAATGTAGGGTCCAGTTTTATTGGAATGGCTTGAGTTCTGCTTGGATCCTACTTAATTCAGCGTGCCCACCTTAACCTGCCGGGGAATGGCTCTGTGAATTTAGTTTTCCCTTTACCTGCCCAGATTCGCTCAAGCAAAGTCAACTAACATTAAACAAGTGCTTCTGGTATGGTTCTTCTGTATAATTCTCTAGGAACCCACTGTATGACTTGCCCTCTAGCTGTTACTGAATTGCCCATTCTCTCCCCTCTTCCCCTTTTCCCCATTCCCCCACCTCTCATCTCCCTCCATCCTTTTTTGGCATGTTCCTCCCTTGTTACCATAACCACTCCTTAAAAATCAACCTCCACAGCTAAGACCCAGGATGGCATTGCTTTGGAGATCCAACCGCTGAAGAGTGAGGAAGGTGCGGAGTCAGAGGAGAAGGAGGAGAAAGAAGAAAAGGAGAAAAAGAAGGTCAACGTCACCAAGAAAGAAAAGTCGGTCCTGCAGGGCAAGCTGACCAGACTAGCTGTTCAGATTGGAAAAGCAGGTTAGAAGACAACACAACTGAGTGTCAAGTGTGCCCAATAAACTCATATACCATCTCTAAAATGGTTAAATATCTCTTTCCCACAGTTTTTATATTGTGCTTTTTGTTGTTGATATAGAATTAATAGAAATGTCTCATTAGACCAATTTTGCGATACTTCAAGAGAGTAAAAATGTGTTTTATTATCAACTCTGCTTTAAACTTCAGTATCAAAAATGGTGTTTGAGTTGGTCGGTTTGAGTCATTTTACTTCTGTGAATTAGTTCTCTCTAAAACTCTGACATTGATTGATTCACATTTTGAATCTACTTGACAGCTGTTAGGTTGAAATCATTGCTCCTAATTCATGTTGAGATATTTAATATGGTTTAAAAGGCTAGAAGATATTGAAATTTAAAATGTGCAGATATTGTATCTTTATATGTATTTAGTTTAAAGGTGCACTTAAGCCTTTTTTAACAAAGAGAAGTAGAATTTTGGAACTTTGGAGAAGTAGAACATCAGTAGAACTTTGAAAAAAATCTTTCAATTGATCTCTACCTACATCTGATGATTCTAAGATGAGTGCCATAGCAAACGATGTGCAGCTTTAAAGCACAATATTTATACTAATTAGCCATGTGTTCACTTTTACAAAAGTACATAATTTTTTTTCAGAAGTCCTTTCCGTAAATTAGTTAATTTGGTTCCCAAGGATTGTTTTACTTACTGTTTAAAGAAACCGTGTCACCCAGTATGGAAACAGGCTTGTCCCTTTGGGCTGTGTTCCACCTAATTATCCTACTTCCTACAGTTACCCAATCAAATAACATTCAGATGCAGCACATCAGACCACAACTGTTGCTGTAATGAACAAAAGTCAGAAGGCTTTGTTTCCCTCTGTGCCGTATTGAATTTGAAACTCCCTCTCATCCGGCAGGTCTCATCATGTCTGCTGTGACCGTCATCATCCTCATCCTTTTCTTTGTCATTGATACATTTGGCGTCCAGGGCCGCGAGTGGACAGCAGAGTGCACTCCAATCTACATTCAATACTTTGTGAAGTTTTTCATTATTGGCGTGACCGTGCTGGTGGTAGCCGTGCCTGAGGGGCTGCCTCTAGCTGTCACTATCTCCCTGGCTTATTCCGTCAAGGTGAGAGCCTCTGGGTTAGTTTACCACCACAAACCTGTATAAGTCAGTAAATGTTGCTTGATTCTTTACATTAGTGCTAATCTATGTTTGGGGGCTAAAGCACACTCCTTTCCCTGAGTATAACCACATTAATTCCTGGTTTTCCTCAACAGAAAATGATGAAAGACAACAACCTGGTGAGGCACCTGGATGCCTGTGAGACCATGGGTAATGCCACTGCCATCTGCTCTGACAAAACTGGAACGCTGACTATGAATCGCATGACAGTGGTGCAGGCTTTCATAGGTGACACACACTATAAAAGCATTCCTGAATCGGAGGCCATTAATCCAGAGACTCTTGAGCTACTGGTGAACAGCATCTCCATAAACTCAGCCTACACTACCAAGATCCTGGTAAGAATTAGCCATACACAAATGAGATACAGATGAGTGAATGATCTGTTTTGTTTTCTGTTTATTTATTAATTATAGGGTTGTCAAATTAGAAGTCCACAATAAGCCCCAGCCAAAACACACTTACCAAGAGCAGACAGCACAAAATGACTAAGGAGCCGTTCACATAAGGCATTTTAATTGCGTTAAATAATAAAAATAAATTAAATATAAACAGGAATATAAAAAAGACAAAAGCACAACATTACAAAAAAATGAAGTTACAATGAAAACTGATATTAATGTAAAAATAATATTCAAATTCAAAGTATTATTATACTTTGTACTATATACTTTGTATATACAGTAAATAATCCTAAAATGACAATAGTCTGAACTACTTCTTAGGCTACATCAAACAGATTGACAACTCAAACAATTAGCAAAATGGATTATGGTCAGGCAGAGAAAGACTTATGTTCAAAGATGTGTAATAAAACAATATATGGACGTTTGCAGCCATTTTTCTTATGTCTGTTCAGTACTTTACTTGTCTGCCACAATATGTTTCAATTATTTCAATTTGGGTTTTTTTTTTCTCAGAAAATATCAATATGTGTGATTACATGTAATTAATTTGATAAAATAATTGCCATATGTAATGTATTAACTGACACTTTTTTTATTGACTATCAAGTCTATTCTTTTTTTAACCTTTCTTGCCTACTATTTACTATATATCTTTCTTTCCCATAGCCTTCTGAGAAGGAGGGAGGTCTGCCAAGGCACGTGGGTAATAAGACAGAGTGTGCACTTCTTGGTCTGGTGTTGGAGCTGAAGAGAGACTATCAGCCTATTAGAGATGAGGTTCCTGAGGAGAAACTTTATAAGGTTTACACATTCAACTCCTCCCGGAAGAGCATGAGCACTGTACTAAAGAACACCAGTGGTCCAGGCTTCCGGATGTACAGCAAAGGCGCCTCTGAGATTGTCCTGCGCAAGTATGCTAAATTAACTTATTCTCAAGCTCTTAAAGGGGTCTTATTATAAGGAATAAAATTTTACTTAATATTTAGAGATAAAGGAGTTTGATATACGGTGAAAAGTTCTGAAGTTTTTGATTTTCTAATGTCACAAACCTGAAGCATTAAGGGGGAGCTTCTTAACCCCCTGGGGTTGAAGCCCGCACCGGTGTGGTCTGTCTTGTATTTTCTTGATGACCGCTAAAAGAACTAAAAATAACTAAAAGTACAGATAAGAATAAGGTATCGTTTTAAACTGCAAAGGGTCTACTTTTATTTATGTATAGCCATAATAACAACAAAACAATGTGCTTTTGTAAAATAAAGAAAATAAACAGGCTGTGATCCTCACTGTCTCCACGAACTGCTTTTAGAAACGCGTCACTAAAATGAACTGAAACTCAGCGAATACTTCACATACAGACATGAGAAATATATCTATAGAAAGCTTGACATGTCTACTCTTAAATGAAGTAACTCTTACCGAAAACAAATATTCTGTGATAAAGTAATCCGTATGAAACCAACGACAGGTCCAGTTTTTCCCGTCTGTTCTCATTATCTCTAATTAGATCACACCCACGCGCTGCTCGCGCTATTGATATTACAAATCTCCACGTGAGACGTGCGACATGTAAACGCCCACATCGCCGTAAACAAAGCAGCAACATGTTCATCTCGGATACTTTTTCGTTTTTGGAAGAAGAAAAGAGAGGAATAAGCCTTGTATTTACCTCAGAAGACGGGCTGAGAGGAAAAAGCTTTGTTTACCTCACAAACAGAACGCGAGCGCGGCTGGAGCCAGCAGAGGAGATCTTTCATGCAGAGTAAGTAAAGTTTCTTATTTGCATTAGATAATGTGTTGTTGTGACATAAACTTGAACACATTTACTAGTTGGACTTTCCACAAACTATAATTCCAGACTAAAATGTGTGAAATCAAGTGCAACATTTTGAAATATGATAGGCAACCTTTCATTACATCTAAATGTACGGCGTGAGGATGGTTTTATGTTCAATACTATAAACAATATATAAAAGTATTTGTTTACATGATTTAAAATTAATGTCTAAGAATGTTTAGACCAATCATTACTGTGAAATACCCTGTCTGCAAATATGTTCAAACGTGCTTACCAATAATAATTTAGTTTCTCAGATATAGAATGTCCTTCTTAAAGTCATCCCTCAGTCATTCACCACCCCATGTTCTTTTCCATCAGGTGACCTTCTCCCAGCTGATGGTATCTTGATCCAGGGTAATGACCTGAAGATTGATGAAAGCTCTCTGACTGGGGAGTCCGATCATGTTCGCAAATCTCTGGAGAAGGATCCTATGCTCCTTTCTGGTGAGATAGATTGTCTTTTTTTCCTTGGTTGCATCCGCTTGTTAACATCTGTTGTAGGGTGTGAAAGAGACCACAATCTAGGATTAAACATGGACATAAAAAACAAAGTATTAGGATTTTTAGAAAAGGAAAAAAAATGTAGAAGACGGAAAAAAAAGTTGTTTAATGAGATGTCAGCTTGAGTGCTGATGTCATTAAAAGCAAAAATAAATATGTATTTTTTTATATTATCATATTTTTTGCTCTCCTGTCAAATTATTATTCTTGTAATATAATTTGTAATTTTAAAATTATATTAAATAACTTTAATGGAATAGACATGAAGGCCCTATTTTTTTTTTTTTTTTTTTGAAGAATTGGAATTTAGAATGTAAGCAGTCATTTAGCACATGCTTTTATCCAAAGCCACTTAGAGTACACTACAGAAACCATCTCCCTGGAGCAGCCTTGCTCAAGCATACAATCCGCTTGTTAAGGTGTGGGGGGGGGGCATTTTTTAGACATTTTTCACAAATATATAATTATCTCACCTAAATGTTTGATCATGCAGTGCATTATTGTTTTTACAATGGGGCGATTACTGCACAATAGCTTACACACAGCACAAGCCTGATTTTGTGAGATGTGAGGCGACCTTATGTGTGCGCTTTGAGTGTGCATGAGCACACCGCTCTCTTGGAGAGCGCGCGAGTGCTGAATGGTTTAAACACTGGCAAGACTTAAAAAGAAATGCAAATTATAAACTTTAGTGACGATGCAACACTGCCTCGATTGTGCAAGTAACAATTCCTGTGTCAACTGCACAGCGTGCAGCTCACTTATAGTACAGACACGATGTGGGAATTTGAAGCCATTTGTGCATTTTGAGAGGTAAAGGGAGAGAGTGTGTGGTGATTCACTCATGCTGTTTGTGAAATTACGTCTCATAGAAAGTTTTCAAATTACTTAGTTATTTAATAAAGAAATATGAATTGTACCTCACCTTCAGCATTATAATTATTTTGCCTGTGCTGGACAGAGATTGAGATGGTGCTGCTGCATGTGGCGCATCGTCAGCTTGAGATCTGTTTATGAGATCAGCCTTTATAGAGACCGCAGATTAAACTTCCCAAAGCGATTATCGGCCGATAGCGATCGGTAGCCAATCAATCGGAGCACCCCTAATTTTAATGAATCAGAAAAGATGAATCACACTTTGGCCAACTTATATTTTAGGTGTGGAGATGAGGTTGGGATCATGCTTTTTCGGTAGTACTACATAGCATAGTACTAGTAGCACAACGTGACTGGATCTTAGTATTGTTTGTTGATTGCTTTTGGGATTTGAAAGAGCGTTTGGACCCGGAAACAGTGGCTCATGATGTCAGACTTAATACCTACCTCACCAACCTTGAGCTTTAGCAACTAGTCTACACCACACTACTGTCAGTGTTTTTTTTTATTTAGAAATAACAGTTTATTAATATTAATCAAATGGTAGTATTGACTAGAAAAATCTAAAACCACTCACTGAGTTTAATTAGCTTTATCATCAACTTTACTCGGTTATGTAGAAAAACATTCCTTTCTTAATTAAAAAAAAAATACTTGAAGACTGTTAATTGCAATTAAACATTTTTTTGTATTAATATATAGATTATTTAGTTAATGTTTGTTAATATTTAACAATTAAAAAAAATGTCAGTTTTTGTTATGCTAGTTGTTGCTATGATATTGAAATTGCTATCAAAATAATGAAATTTCAATGATATTGGTATTGACTGGTATCTACTGGTATCGTGAAGGCTTTTCTTTTGCTTTCTAACAGGAACTCACGTGATGGAGGGATCTGGCCGAATGGTGGTCAGTGCCGTGGGCCTGAATTCTCAGACTGGAATCATTTTCACCCTTTTGGGCGCCAGTGATGAGGAGAAGAAGAAGGTGAAGAAAGGTGAGAAACTAACATACTTTCATTCTCATTTGGATAACTCCCTCTCTCTTTGAGTGAGTAAACAGTCTACCTCTCTGTTTGGGAGGTTACCTACCATCAGCCTGCCAGAGGTAAGAGCTATTTATATGATTTGCTGAATTGTCTTCCTCCCCCAAAACGCCAGTTGCTCTGAAGGTTGAAATTTGCCATTTATTTGGGGAATAATCACAGTATGTCAGTGAAGACGTACAATGTCCCTTGAGTCACTTTCCATTGTACTAACTCTTTTATCTTAAATATTTAGTTTTTCTAAATGTTTCAGTTAGCTGAATTTGATCTAGTTATTTCTAATTGGCTAAATGTATTATTTAAAAGAAAAAAAAAATTTTTGTAAACATTACACTCATAACACTGAGATGGTTATGATAATTGAACAGTCAAAGAAACAGTCATACCTGTCATGTTATTCCATCTCCAATTCAGCGTGCAGTATGTCCTTACTGCATGCACTGGTCCTCCAGGGTATGTCAAAAAAAAAAACACCTGCTGTCAGCTCACAGTGTCTCTTTAATGTTCCTATTTGTTGGGTTGTAATTCAACAGTCAGACTGGTCTAAATGGTTTGCTGTCTCACTGCTAAAAGAGCAGCTCTAAAAAGCCAAGAGCAGCTCTGAAACTTTGAATATTTAGATTCCTTGATTTTTGTTAGAATGACAATTCAGTCATCGTCTTTTAGTTAGATAATTGTCGTAATTTTCCCTTTTCCCTCATGTTCCAAAAATATCTTTGTCGAATGTGTTTGCCAATGAAAATTGAGAGACCTGCTTTTTGGTTTCAGCCAAACCCTGTTGGCATTATCACAGTTTGTGATGCAAGTGAACAAAAAATTGGAAATTTATGAAACCGCTAAATTGTAATGAGGTTTTGTCAGCTGTATGCCACAGTCAAAAACAATGACCGAGCCGTCAGTGTACCCTGCATAAAGCCCCTCAAGTCCTTGTCTTTTTCTATAGATGACACATCCAATCCCACATATACTCATGTAATGTAGTGTTACTTATCTAGTTTTTATTCTTTTGTTATTGTGTTTCTTTCTTTTCTTCTTCTGTCTTTGGTTTATTTACTTTTAGCCATGTAATATCAGCCCTCCGCCCTCTCTCTCTCGTTTTAAACAGGTAAAAAACAAGGACCCCCCGAAAATCGCAACAAAGGTAACCTTACCCACTCCCTCTCCCCTCTCCTCCTCCCCCCTCCCCATTCAGCAGCAAGTCTCGGAGTCTCGTGTCAGTCCCACTCACTCACTTGCTCACTTTCTCTCTCTGTCTTTCTTGCTGTTGCTTACCCCTTCCTGCTGAGCCCAGGGGAGCTTCTTGCCTCGCTTTACCTATCAAAGGGTGCAACTCTCACCTGCTGGAAACGGCACTAAGCAGCCAGAAGACTTTGCAAGTCCGCAGCTCCTCTTTATACAAAGTTTGTCAGTTGCTATAAATAATCAAGATTAATCTAAAATTTGTTAAATGTTTTTTTTACGTCATTCTTACATTTTTCTGAAATGAATATATACTTAAAAAAAATAATTTTCTCAAATGTCAATGTTCACTTCCTTTTTTTTAAGGCAAGAATATTATTTATAAAAGTTTTCTTTTTTTATGCCATAGTGAGAGATGCATTGCAACAATGGAAAAAATTGCTTTTTTTTGTCTAGATGAACAAAGTCGGTGACTAGAGTAATTCATGGTTGGACAACTAGTCGACCATCCTACTCATCCCTATTATATGCAATGTTTTCTGCTCGTAGATAATATTTTGGCGGCCATACTTTGATATTTAATTTCCACCATAAAAACTTCAAATGCCTTTTGTTTAAAGGACTGGATTTGATAAACTTAAACCTTAAACGTATTGTTTAATATCATACGTGAACATGTTATCATTGGCAACCCTAATGATTGCATGTATCAATTTGACTTCTGTAGATCTAATTTTTCATTAATGTGACATTTTAGATGTCTCTCCTTTTCAGAAGGCAAACTTTCTCTGTGTGCCTGGCCGGGTCATCTGCGAACATTTGTACTGTGTTTCAGAGTGTGCCCACTCTGCCTTGGCTGACCCCAACAACCCCTCCCCTGCCCCACCCCCTGTAGCGCTCAGGGACTGAGCATCTGCTCCAGACAGAGCTGCTCATTTTGTCTGCACAGATCTCCTTCCTTTTGCCCTTGGTCTCAAGCACACAAACACTTACACAAGCTGGTATTGGTTTAACACTGAGTATGTAAATGCAATGTCTTCCCCTGGTCTTAAAGTGATGGCCAAAAAGCTATTTAGGAAGATTTAATCATGTTCAGGTCTTGCTCCATGGTATGATCTTGTACAAAACACCCACTTTTCACAATCTAATCAATTCCTGATGGATAAAATGAAGTCCTGCCTTTTTTTTAATCATTGAATGTCCTGTTTCACTCTGAAATATATAGCAAGAACAGTGTGTTACGAACAGGGCCTCATGTTGACTTATTAATTGCTCCTATTCAACCATGAGCTTTTGTGCAGATACACATTGCCCAGTACAATGTGTTCACAGCTTCATAGATGGTTTATGATGTGAAAGTAATGCTTAGGGGCATGGCTTATGTGGGAGTTGCACCCTTGCAATATGGACCGGCTGTGGGTTGTTGTTTCTGTCCGTTTCTTTACTTTAGCTCTTTGTTTTTCTCACTGTTGCTTCTTTCTAGGGTGTGGCTCAGGACTTCATGCTGTCTTGTACACTCTTCTCTTGGTCAAAATTTGACCTTTTCTTTCTCCTTTACCCTCTTTCTCTGGTACCCCACTCTCATTTGGGAGTGGAAAAATAAACCAGAATCTCTCTGATCTTTTTCGTCTTCCTTTTGGTCCTTGTTTTTCTCGTGGTGGTTGTTTATCTGGCTGTTTGGACCGTTTTTGTAAATTTTGTAATTTTGTTGTTTGTAAATCACTCTTGTTCGTCGTGCGTGCCTCTGTTTGTGTTGTCAGTCAGACAGTCAGTCCGTCCATCAATTCCCGATTCATGTGTGGTTGTTCTGGTCAGCTCTGTCAGTTCTGGTCAGTTGTTTGTTGTGACTGGTGGTCAGGTAGGCTCTTGGACTGTTTCTCAAACTCCACCACTGCAGAGTTTCAGCCTGTTGCACACCATGTTTGAGATGATACATAGGCTAACTGCAAAATGAAAATTACTTGGCCTCTTTGTATCTTTTAAAATGGAGACTTAATGGGAATTGGGGGTGAGGGATCAATGTCTATCCACAGCAAAGTGGCAGAATTGGATCTTCGACTTCGACCTTTTTAAAAAAAAAAAAAAATTTTTATGTATTATTTCCTTATGTCTATTCCAGTTTGGTACAGTTAATCTTAGTACAATATTGCACAAGTTCAGTAAGTTGCTTTTAAAAGTGAATTGAACGTCAGCATATGCAACTATCAGAGGGGAGCCATGATGGCACAGTAAGACCATATAAGAGAAATAAAAGGCAAATTTAGTTTAGACTAATCAGCTAATTAAACGGTCTTCAAACCAGAAAGAGATTTCCATTGCCAATTTAAGAGAATTTATAAAATAAAAAAAGTAGATTATGGGTTGAACTTGAATATTTTTTCAGGTGTACACACCTAATATTTATAATTGTATTGAGTAGCTCATTGTCCAGTGCCAATGTAGGGTCCAGTTTTATTGGAATGGCTTGAGTTCTGCTTGGATCCTACTTAATTCAGCGTGCCCACCTTAACCTGCCGGGGAATGGCTCTGTGAATTTAGTTTTCCCTTTACCTGCCCAGATTCGCTCAAGCAAAGTCAACTAACATTAAACAAGTGCTTCTGGTATGGTTCTTCTGTATAATTCTCTAGGAACCCACTGTATGACTTGCCCTCTAGCTGTTACTGAATTGCCCATTCTCTCCCCTCTTCCCCTTTTCCCCATTCCCCCACCTCTCATCTCCCTCCATCCTTTTTTGGCATGTTCCTCCCTTGTTACCATAACCACTCCTTAAAAATCAACCTCCACAGCTAAGACCCAGGATGGCATTGCTTTGGAGATCCAACCGCTGAAGAGTGAGGAAGGTGCGGAGTCAGAGGAGAAGGAGGAGAAAGAAGAAAAGGAGAAAAAGAAGGTCAACGTCACCAAGAAAGAAAAGTCGGTCCTGCAGGGCAAGCTGACCAGACTAGCTGTTCAGATTGGAAAAGCAGGTTAGAAGACAACACAACTGAGTGTCAAGTGTGCCCAATAAACTCATATACCATCTCTAAAATGGTTAAATATCTCTTTCCCACAGTTTTTATATTGTGCTTTTTGTTGTTGATATAGAATTAATAGAAATGTCTCATTAGACCAATTTTGCGATACTTCAAGAGAGTAAAAATGTGTTTTATTATCAACTCTGCTTTAAACTTCAGTATCAAAAATGGTGTTTGAGTTGGTCGGTTTGAGTCATTTTACTTCTGTGAATTAGTTCTCTCTAAAACTCTGACATTGATTGATTCACATTTTGAATCTACTTGACAGCTGTTAGGTTGAAATCATTGCTCCTAATTCATGTTGAGATATTTAATATGGTTTAAAAGGCTAGAAGATATTGAAATTTAAAATGTGCAGATATTGTATCTTTATATGTATTTAGTTTAAAGGTGCACTTAAGCCTTTTTTAACAAAGAGAAGTAGAATTTTGGAACTTTGGAGAAGTAGAACATCAGTAGAACTTTGAAAAAAATCTTTCAATTGATCTCTACCTACATCTGATGATTCTAAGATGAGTGCCATAGCAAACGATGTGCAGCTTTAAAGCACAATATTTATACTAATTAGCCATGTGTTCACTTTTACAAAAGTACATAATTTTTTTTCAGAAGTCCTTTCCGTAAATTAGTTAATTTGGTTCCCAAGGATTGTTTTACTTACTGTTTAAAGAAACCGTGTCACCCAGTATGGAAACAGGCTTGTCCCTTTGGGCTGTGTTCCACCTAATTATCCTACTTCCTACAGTTACCCAATCAAATAACATTCAGATGCAGCACATCAGACCACAACTGTTGCTGTAATGAACAAAAGTCAGAAGGCTTTGTTTCCCTCTGTGCCGTATTGAATTTGAAACTCCCTCTCATCCGGCAGGTCTCATCATGTCTGCTGTGACCGTCATCATCCTCATCCTTTTCTTTGTCATTGATACATTTGGCGTCCAGGGCCGCGAGTGGACAGCAGAGTGCACTCCAATCTACATTCAATACTTTGTGAAGTTTTTCATTATTGGCGTGACCGTGCTGGTGGTAGCCGTGCCTGAGGGGCTGCCTCTAGCTGTCACTATCTCCCTGGCTTATTCCGTCAAGGTGAGAGCCTCTGGGTTAGTTTACCACCACAAACCTGTATAAGTCAGTAAATGTTGCTTGATTCTTTACATTAGTGCTAATCTATGTTTGGGGGCTAAAGCACACTCCTTTCCCTGAGTATAACCACATTAATTCCTGGTTTTCCTCAACAGAAAATGATGAAAGACAACAACCTGGTGAGGCACCTGGATGCCTGTGAGACCATGGGTAATGCCACTGCCATCTGCTCTGACAAAACTGGAACGCTGACTATGAATCGCATGACAGTGGTGCAGGCTTTCATAGGTGACACACACTATAAAAGCATTCCTGAATCGGAGGCCATTAATCCAGAGACTCTTGAGCTACTGGTGAACAGCATCTCCATAAACTCAGCCTACACTACCAAGATCCTGGTAAGAATTAGCCATACACAAATGAGATACAGATGAGTGAATGATCTGTTTTGTTTTCTGTTTATTTATTAATTATAGGGTTGTCAAATTAGAAGTCCACAATAAGCCCCAGCCAAAACACACTTACCAAGAGCAGACAGCACAAAATGACTAAGGAGCCGTTCACATAAGGCATTTTAATTGCGTTAAATAATAAAAATAAATTAAATATAAACAGGAATATAAAAAAGACAAAAGCACAACATTACAAAAAAATGAAGTTACAATGAAAACTGATATTAATGTAAAAATAATATTCAAATTCAAAGTATTATTATACTTTGTACTATATACTTTGTATATACAGTAAATAATCCTAAAATGACAATAGTCTGAACTACTTCTTAGGCTACATCAAACAGATTGACAACTCAAACAATTAGCAAAATGGATTATGGTCAGGCAGAGAAAGACTTATGTTCAAAGATGTGTAATAAAACAATATATGGACGTTTGCAGCCATTTTTCTTATGTCTGTTCAGTACTTTACTTGTCTGCCACAATATGTTTCAATTATTTCAATTTGGGTTTTTTTTTTCTCAGAAAATATCAATATGTGTGATTACATGTAATTAATTTGATAAAATAATTGCCATATGTAATGTATTAACTGACACTTTTTTTATTGACTATCAAGTCTATTCTTTTTTTAACCTTTCTTGCCTACTATTTACTATATATCTTTCTTTCCCATAGCCTTCTGAGAAGGAGGGAGGTCTGCCAAGGCACGTGGGTAATAAGACAGAGTGTGCACTTCTTGGTCTGGTGTTGGAGCTGAAGAGAGACTATCAGCCTATTAGAGATGAGGTTCCTGAGGAGAAACTTTATAAGGTTTACACATTCAACTCCTCCCGGAAGAGCATGAGCACTGTACTAAAGAACACCAGTGGTCCAGGCTTCCGGATGTACAGCAAAGGCGCCTCTGAGATTGTCCTGCGCAAGTATGCTAAATTAACTTATTCTCAAGCTCTTAAAGGGGTCTTATTATAAGGAATAAAATTTTACTTAATATTTAGAGATAAAGGAGTTTGATATACGGTGAAAAGTTCTGAAGTTTTTGATTTTCTAATGTCACAAACCTGAAGCATTAAGGGGGAGCTTCTTAACCCCCTGGGGTTGAAGCCCGCACCGGTGTGGTCTGTCTTGTATTTTCTTGATGACCGCTAAAAGAACTAAAAATAACTAAAAGTACAGATAAGAATAAGGTATCGTTTTAAACTGCAAAGGGTCTACTTTTATTTATGTATAGCCATAATAACAACAAAACAATGTGCTTTTGTAAAATAAAGAAAATAAACAGGCTGTGATCCTCACTGTCTCCACGAACTGCTTTTAGAAACGCGTCACTAAAATGAACTGAAACTCAGCGAATACTTCACATACAGACATGAGAAATATATCTATAGAAAGCTTGACATGTCTACTCTTAAATGAAGTAACTCTTACCGAAAACAAATATTCTGTGATAAAGTAATCCGTATGAAACCAACGACAGGTCCAGTTTTTCCCGTCTGTTCTCATTATCTCTAATTAGATCACACCCACGCGCTGCTCGCGCTATTGATATTACAAATCTCCACGTGAGACGTGCGACATGTAAACGCCCACATCGCCGTAAACAAAGCAGCAACATGTTCATCTCGGATACTTTTTCGTTTTTGGAAGAAGAAAAGAGAGGAATAAGCCTTGTATTTACCTCAGAAGACGGGCTGAGAGGAAAAAGCTTTGTTTACCTCACAAACAGAACGCGAGCGCGGCTGGAGCCAGCAGAGGAGATCTTTCATGCAGAGTAAGTAAAGTTTCTTATTTGCATTAGATAATGTGTTGTTGTGACATAAACTTGAACACATTTACTAGTTGGACTTTCCACAAACTATAATTCCAGACTAAAATGTGTGAAATCAAGTGCAACATTTTGAAATATGATAGGCAACCTTTCATTACATCTAAATGTACGGCGTGAGGATGGTTTTATGTTCAATACTATAAACAATTAGGGGTGTGCGATATATATCGTCTGCGATAATATTGTAATTGTTGTTTTAACGATGTGTGATTTGACATTATCGAATATTTTGCAAAAACCATTCAAAACATACCTACAGAGTGCACGCATACATTACGTGAAGTCTAGACTAGTGTGTGTGCATTTAGTGTGTTTTCTTTCACTGCATGATTCAGTCTATGCATTTAGAATGATCACAAATTCAAGACATGATGGCAGAAACTTTATGTATTTATACCACTTCATATAGTTATTCAATTTCACACGAAGAGTGCCGTTTTTCTCCAAAAATTACCGTGATTGCAAATGTGACATTGAATTCAATAAACAAGTTTCGGCTTTTTCTTTCTTTTCTTTTTTTCCTTTTTTTCATGTTTTAAATCATTTCAAGTATCAGTATTCAACGTTTTATGTTTAATATATCAAAACATTATTTATGCATTTGTAATTGCAGGTTAAATGCATTCATGTCTTGCATTAAACAAAATACATGCGTGTTAATAATCTAAATGTCACTTCAGATGCAGCTTCTGTGTTGATTTAATTTGCTTGGTAACAGCCCAAATGTCTTATTATTCTAATTCCCTGATTAAATGTAAGAATTTGACTCAAAAGATAATGGACACTTTTAGAAAAAATGGCTTTATAAAGGTAAAAATGCCCATAAAATGCAAAAATCAGTTTAAACTTATTGGAAAAGATTAATTTCTATCAGTATGAACTGACCACCACACAGAATATGAAGAATATTAAAAACATTAGGAGTCAGCTGTCTTCGGCAGTCTTTAAGGTACCAGCACAATAACACACTCGGCAAAATATCGTCTAATTATCGTTATCGATAAAATCCCAGAAAATATCGAGATATGATTTTTTTTGTCAATATCGCACTCCCCTATGATATAAAATTAATGTCTAAGAATGTTTAGACCAATCATTACTGTGAAATACCCTGTCTGCAAATGTTCAAACATGCTTACCAATAATAATTTAGTTTCTCAGATATAGAATGTCCTGTTTGTACTGTATGTGCATCTTTGATATAAAATCACGTGGGAAATATTAGTGATTGCTACTGTAATAATATAGTTTCTATCAACATGCTATCAATATCCTCACTTATTTATTTGGGGTTAAGAGATTATAGAAATTAATACTTTTATTTAGCAAGGATGCTTTAAATTGATAAAGTGAAGATGAAGACATTTATAGTGTTACAAAAGATTTCTATTTCAGATAAATGCTGTTCTACTGAACTTTCTATTCATCAAAGGAACCTGAAAAATTCTACTAATCTGTTTTCAACAACAATAATAATAGTAATAGTAATAATAAATGTTTTTGAGCTGCAAATCAGAATATTAGAATGATTTCTGAAGGAACATGTTACACTGAAGACTGGAGTAATGATGCTGAAATGTTTGAAACTTTCAATTTTCGTTTAGGACTGTGGCTGCATCACTGGCATCTTGCACAAGAAAGGCACACGAGTGTCGTTCAGTTTTGAGTTCACTGGAAAATTATACTGAGTAAGTGCACAGTATAGTCATTTTACTTTTATTATGCCTAGACTATATGGTAATATTATTTGTGGTTGATAGTGTTAAAATGTAGTTTCTTTGTTATTGGCATTCTGTTTTCTCATGAAGTATGCATACTATACTAAGGTACTGTGGGGAAAAAATGCTATTACAATTGTTTATAAAATTATTTTAGGACCGAATACACCACTCTTGCCTTCACCTGCATCTCTTACAGTAAGGGGACGCTCGTTCAGTTTTCAACTCCATTCAGAATCTTAGAGTAAGTGTGCATTCACTATTTTACAGATGTTACTTTCATTTGATTTATTTACTGTATGGTAAAATATGTTTGCTATGTGGTAATTGTGTTCTTTGTTTCCATAAATTAGTACTAGTATCAGTGAACATCACAATAATGTAGTTTGTGTAAACCGCATGCTTACTTTTTTATTTCAGATGTGAGAATAACAGTGTAAAAGAACCTATCGCACTCCCCTATGATATAAAATTAATGTCTAAGAATGTTTAGACCAATCATTACTGTGAAATACCCTGTCTGCAAATGTTCAAACATGCTTACCAATAATAATTTAGTTTCTCAGATATAGAATGTCCTGTTTGTACTGTATGTGCATCTTTGATATAAAATCACGTGGGAAATATTAGTGATTGCTACTGTAATAATATAGTTTCTATCAACATGCTATCAATATCCTCACTTATTTATTTGGGGTTAAGAGATTATAGAAATTAATACTTTTATTTAGCAAGGATGCTTTAAATTGATAAAGTGAAGATGAAGACATTTATAGTGTTACAAAAGATTTCTATTTCAGATAAATGCTGTTCTACTGAACTTTCTATTCATCAAAGGAACCTGAAAAATTCTACTAATCTGTTTTCAACAACAATAATAATAGTAATAGTAATAATAAATGTTTTTGAGCTGCAAATCAGAATATTAGAATGATTTCTGAAGGAACATGTTACACTGAAGACTGGAGTAATGATGCTGAAATGTTTGAAACTTTCAATTTTCGTTTAGGACTGTGGCTGCATCACTGGCATCTTGCACAAGAAAGGCACACGAGTGTCGTTCAGTTTTGAGTTCACTGGAAAATTATACTGAGTAAGTGCACAGTATAGTCATTTTACTTTTATTATGCCTAGACTATATGGTAATATTATTTGTGGTTGATAGTGTTAAAATGTAGTTTCTTTGTTATTGGCATTCTGTTTTCTCATGAAGTATGCATACTATACTAAGGTACTGTGGGGAAAAAATGCTAACGATTGTTTATAAAATTATTTTAGGACTGAATACACCACTCTTGCCTTCACCTGCATCTCTCATAGGAAAGGGACGCTCGTTCAGTTTTCAACTCCATTCAGAATCTTAGAGTAAGTGTGCATTCACTATTTTACAGATGTTACTTTCATTTGATTTATTTACTGTATGGTAAAATATGTTTGCTATGTGGTAATTGTGTTCTTTGTTTCCATAAATTAGTACTAGTATCAGTGAACATCACAATAATGTAGTTTGTGTAAACCGCATGCTTACTTTTTTATTTCAGATGTGAGAATAACAGTGTAAAAGAACCTGTTGCAAAGAGAGCCAAAGCAAAGCAGCCCACTCGGTCATGGAAAACAGAGACTAATGTTGACATGTTCCACAGGCTCTGAGATTCCTGCCTGCACAGGAACCTGGACCACAGCTAAGACCGTGTGATGCACACACTCCTATGAGTCTCTTCAAAATGTTTTTCAAGTTTCCTGCCACTGTTCTGGATATTTTGGATGTTGCACCCATGACATCTTGACTCTCGTGTTGTTGGTTTTTTTTCTTCTAATAAACTGTTTTAACTGCAATCGCAAGTGAATCTCAAGTTATTTTATGTGACAGTTATATATATTCTAAATAAACTACAAACAAAAAATATATACATTTATTTTCCTTTTATTCTTTCATGTAGCAATTCCCTCTCAGTCACATACCTGACTGAAAGGCTCATTATGCAGCTCATTATGCGGGCCTTTGTGAATCACAGCATTATGCATGACAATTCACGCCCCCTCGCATGTACCTTTTCTACACAAAAAGTGTCTTGGAAAATTTAAATCAATATATTGTTTTCTGTGAATGAGTGAGTAAACTAAATGATTTTCACATCATTCTGATGCAAAAACGCTAGACTTCAAGATCCAGTTCTCAAAAGTCTTGTGAACAAATGTTCTGTAATTGTTTTATGGCCTTATTTCAGTGACTTTAAAATTTTAGTTTTCACTAAGCACGCATAAACGTTGTTTTCTCAAAAACAGCACATCGCCTGTTATTGTAGCCCAGTTTGTGCTGATTACAGTGTTAAACTTTAGACATTAAAATTTTATAAGCAACTGAAAAAAGCACAAATGTCAGGGCATGTCAAAACTTCTCCAGGCCCCCAAAATACCCGCAGACTTTTTGCTGTTAAAGGCACAAAAGCAAAATAATTTCCGGTCCTTTTTTTTTCATAAATGGAGGATAAGGGAATTAAATTATATGAAAATGATATGATGAAAAATGACCCCTTTATTTTCTCCTCTATTGCATCTTCCTCCTGCAGCAAAATGGTAATCATTGCCGTTTGTAGTGATTATTCAACTTTTCTCTTTTCTGTCAGGTGTTCCCATATCCTTGATGCTTCAGGCCAGTCACTTGTCTTCAAGGCCAAAGATCGGGATGAGATGGTGCGGAAAGTGATCGAGCCAATGGCCTGTGACGGGTTAAGGACCATTTGCATAGCCATGAGGGAATTCACAACAGAGCCAGACTGGGACAACGAGGCTGACATTCTGAATAACCTGACCTGCATCTGTGTTGTGGGCATTGAAGACCCTGTTCGTCATGAGGTGAGAGAAATGGTCCAGTTTGCTCTTTGTTAATAGCGTTGTGCTTGTCCGTAGTGCAGGAATTACACACTTCACATGGGCTGGAGATTTGTATACTTCAGGCCTCTGTTCATAATGAGACATGACAATCATTAGGGGGCCGGCTTGTCGCGACTGGGGCAACCCGCCACATTTCATGTAATGAAAAATTATTGACCATGATTATCATGTGATGATGATGGGTTATTTGCTGAGTGTCAAACACTATGTGAAAGTGTGGACAGGAATAGCCTCATTGGTGGAGGGACAAACTGACCTAATTCCCTTGAAGGTGGTAAAATAAGTACATGACAGGCGATGTGCTGTTTTTTAATTATGATATTGGATCAGTGCAGAATTGACGTCAGCTTCCCTCAAATGAGGTGGCATATATAATTCTATAATGGAACGCATGACTGATATTTAGGTTAAGATGTTTCCTGCAGGCTTTATTGATCCATTTTATCTCTGTTCCCTTCTACAGTGTGATTAAAAGTCATCCTTTCTATATGTCCACAATTATTTTTTTCTGTTAAGCATCCTGGCTTGGCATCATTATGAGTAGATCAAGGGGAACAAAAAGAATAGCCAGTAAGTTTTAGCCTGGAATTATTAGAGAAATTTTCCATTTTAAAAAAAGGCTTAAGAAGTAATTGAGTCATGAAAATTAACAAAAACTTAGGGTTAAGGAATTTTTTTTTAGTTTTTTTTTCTCCCAGTTGCTGTGATCTTAAATATTTCCTTGTGTAGAAACTGATTTTTGTGATATCATATAAAATTATATTTAAAAATCCTTATCGAGTAATCACAAACCAACTAACAAAAAATTCTGGAAATATAAATTCATGGAAATGAATTGCAGTGTAGAACGGTTGCTGTTGTTGAATGAATTGTCATCCTCTTTCCATTTACAATGCAGTCAGATGCTCTGTTTGTAAGCCAGTCTTAAATACTGGATTCTGTCTGACATTCAGAGGTGTTTCTCTAACAGTAAACTTGCTTTGAGCTGGTAAAAAAGACTGTCTTACGGTTGGAGTTGATGCGGAGGGCAATATTATGTTAAGGCATTGGTCTGATAGTGGCGCTAGCCCATTTACAGCTTTGAAATGAAATCGTGGAGCAATGTAGCGATGATAAGATGGGCTTGAATGTTTTTGTCCTAGTGAAAATGACTCTCTTGCAGTAATGTTCAGAGCCATCTGTAGCTTATTTGGTTTATTTCTGCTATTGCAGGCAAGACAAGAGTCAAGACTAGAGTTTATTAATGCACACACGTTTCTCTAAATCATACAACATATTCTCCACATGCATCTCTTGTGCAGTGTCTCTGTCTATGGAAACACTGGGAGGTTTTTAATTATCTATAAATAAATGAGCTTATTGGTTCTAATTACAAGTATGGTGTGATTTATCACAAGACTGGGTGGGGATAATTACATAGGACTCCAGCATGCACACACAAAACCTCTGGATCCAGCCTCTTCATGTGTTAAGTAGTCTTGCTACCCCTTACTGCTTCACACACCACGAGCTGACAGGATGCCTCACCAAGAGTGACTGCAATGTCCTCATCTCTCACTGATCTGAGGCCAGCAGTGACACGGAGGAAGAAATTTGTCTTGTTTTCAGCCATGAAGTCTATAATGGCAATGGAATGCAGGGTACCTCTTTTCCACGGGGATCAGCCTTGTTAATATATATAAAACATTCATTAAATATGATTTATTACAGAAAAACAAATTTTTTGTGACATTGTCAGATGTGAAAGTGAGAGAGAGATCTTAATATAGTAAACAGACGGATTCAGTGAGTAGTTCCTTAGAATGACAACTGCTCCTGATGAGTCTTTTAAGTCATTCATGAATCAGACAACACTAGCCATGCGTGGTGTGAACATTATTTATTATATAAATTAATATTTTATATTCATATTATTATTATTTTCTAATATTTTTCCTGTTTTTATTTATTTTTTATTTTTTATTTTTTTAGCACGGTGGAGAAGGGCTATACACAATGGAAAAATGCAGAGTATAGATTATTAACTGCTTATTTATCATAGATTTTGCCATTATTGAACAACTGGGAAAATAGATTGAACTCTTGATAAGTAATTGTGAAATCCTCTGGTATGGATTTTCTAACGTAGCTTGATCCAAGTACATCCAGACTATTTTGCATTGATCTGTTATTTATTTTTTATTTTTTTCAATTATCAAATATATTTATCTCCAGATTCAACACCGAAGTGGCTGAATTGATATGGCAGTGGTTGCTAGGCTGCTCAACATGCTTTGTATCAAGCCAAATAATGGTCCTTCTATTCCTCCGGTGTGCAGGTTCCTGAGGCTATCTCTAAATGTCAGCGAGCAGGCATCACTGTCCGTATGGTCACTGGAGACAACATCAACACAGCCCGCGCCATCGCTACCAAATGTGGAATCCTGCAGCCTGGAGAGGACTTCCTGTGCCTGGAAGGCAAAGACTTCAACCAGCAGATTCGCAATGACAAAGGAGAGGTAAAGAGCTACAGAGCTGTATCTGCAGATGTCTAAGTCGACATGTAAAGTGCTTATTTCAGTGTTGCCTTTATCTTTAGGTTGAACAAGAGCGTCTTGACAAGGTCTGGCCCAAACTGCGTGTTCTGGCTCGTTCCTCACCAACAGACAAACACACTCTGGTTAAAGGTGAGATCTTTACGTATGGTTAGGTGAGCTTCTAGTTCACTCTTTCACTGATAACATCACTATTTAAGCTAAAATTATAAAACAAAGTGTTTGAAAACCAATATATTCACATACATTTTGGTTTATCTTGAGGCAGTTTCTGTATTGTTGTCTTGCAGGCATCATTGACAGCACAGTTGGAGAAACCAGACAGGTGGTGGCTGTGACTGGAGACGGCACTAACGACGGTCCTGCCCTTAAAAAAGCGGATGTTGGCTTTGCTATGGTAAATGATGTGCTTTTTTGTATGTGTTCCTATAATTGTACAACTGTTGTTTTTCTTACAAATGTGGTTTTATTCAAAAATATTGTGCATATACTCTAATTTTTCTGACTAGTCTGTTTTAGATCACTTGGTTTAGCTATTAAAATGGCTGTTTTGTCTTTTTATTATGGGAGACTGTTGCCGGATGAGAGTCTGGCTCATTCAATGAGGGTTTGGCAGCAAATGTTATACTGTAGCTTACATTTCTTTAATAACCGCAGAGGTTGCATCCTAATCCCTGCCCAGTATCTCTTGCTCTGCACCAAGCCAGAATGCCTCAGGGCATCATCGCAGCATGCTGTACTAGCTAAAAGTGGTTGACCCCTGCTTGTTGCTTAGATGACTCCACAACTTAAGCATGAATTAATATGTGCTTCCAGAAATGCACTTTATATGGAGTGAATTAAAGACAGGCAATTCATATTTCTCACTCACACACTCACAACCATCGTCTGCTAAGACTGGGGGAAGTCGTGGCCTAATGGTTAGAGAATCAAACTCATAACCCAAAGGTTGCGGGTTTCGAGTCTCGTACCGGCAGGGATTGTAGGTGGGCGGAGTGAATGTACAGTGCTCTCACCCACCTTCAATACCACGACTGAGGTGCCCTTGAGCAAGGCACCGAACCCCCAACTGATCCCCGGGCGCCGAAGCAAAAATGGCTGCCCACTGCTCCTGGTGTGTGTTCATGGTGTGTGTGTGTTCACTGCTGTGTGTGTGCACTTTGGATGGGTAAATGCAGAGCACTAATTCCGAGTATGGGTCACCATACTTGGTCACATGTCACGTCACTTTGTCACTTTAAAATATATTCTTAAAAATCAAGGAGTGTCTGTTTCAAAAGCAGTAGTTGCTGCAATTGTGCTAGGACATTGGGTTATGGTGAGGGCGGGCATAGTAAATTGTTTCAGAAATAGACACCCTGAAGCTGTCAAAGATATGGTTTAATTTGGGTCATCAATTTACTGTGCTGTTTGCGCCCACACAACTACCACTTTGGTCGTTTCTCCAAAAATGTATTCAGCTGAAATGTTTTTATTTAAAACACATCCTAAACCAAGAAAATGCCTAATTAAAAATGTTATTTGTAGTTAGTTTTTCTCTCTTTCAACTTTATTTTTATTGTGAACCATTCCATTCCTAAGAATGAACCTGCATCTCCAGTTATTCATGAAGTAGACTGCTCTGACATTTATGCATTTATGTTTCTTTCTTTGTCTAACAGGGTATTGCGGGCACAGATGTTGCAAAGGAGGCCTCTGACATCATCCTTACCGATGACAACTTCACCAGTATCGTCAAAGCTGTGATGTGGGGGCGCAATGTCTACGACAGCATCTCCAAGTTTCTGCAGTTTCAGTTGACTGTCAATGTGGTGGCAGTGATTGTTGCTTTCACTGGGGCCTGCATCACACAGGTAAATTTACATCATTTGACTTAAATCTATATGCTGGGTCTGAGGAAGTTATGCCGTTATATAATTGTTTAGTATTTTGAAATAAGATGTACAGTGGGTACGGAAAGTATTCAGACCCCCTTAAATTTTTCACTCTTTGTTATATTGCAGCCATTTGCTAAAATCATTTAAGTTAATTTTTTCCCCTCATTAATGTACACAGAGCACCCCATATTGACAGAAAAACACAGAATTGTTGACATTTTTGCAGATTTATTAAAAAAGAAAAACTGAAATATCACATGGTCCTAAGTATTCAGACCCTTTGCTGTGATACTCATATATTTAACTCAGGTGCTGTCCATTTCTTCTTGAGGGGAGGAAATCGAGTAATAATGTTCATATTTTGACCTGTGTAGAGCGCATCAGGTCATTTATAAAATTAAAAATTCAGGCAAGATGGTACAGGTAAAAAAGGTACTGTAAATAAATATAAATATCTGGAAATAATTTGTAAATGGATTTTTTTTTTCATTAGATATTAAGACAAATTTGTTGTAATTAAAATGTAGTAAATACTTTTTTTTTTTTTTTAACAAATGAGCTGAAGTTTTCCTTGACAAATCACAATGTTGTATGTCTCAAAATTTAAAAGAGAGAGAGAGAGAGAATGTGCTTTTTAAGTTAAATATCTGGACGTTTAATGTGGCATATGTAGTCTTCGAGAAGTAACCATTACAGAAGACAAAAAAAAGGTACCACTTTAGAATAGGGAACACATATTCACTATTAATTAAGAGTTTCCCTCAAACTTCTAATGTGCTGCTTATTAATAGTCAGTAAGGTAATTGTTCAGTTTAGGTAATGGGTCGGGTAAAGGGATCTTACATGGTTATACAGAATAAGGCATTAGTATGTGCCTGTAAGTACTAATAAACAGCCAACACACTAGTAATATGCATGCTAATAAACAACTAGTTAAAAGTGAGAATTGGACCTTAAAATAAAATGTTACCAAAAAATTGCGGTTTCAGGAGTATAAAACACAAGATTATTTGGTGGTTAAACATGGCATTGTGGAGACAATTCATCATAATGTGCCATAATAACAGATCTCAGCCAAGTATTTTATATGTACAGAAACATACTGAGGCCATTTAGTGCTGGTGCCAGACTTTGGCTAATAATGGGCCAGCCAGTCTTATTGTGTCCCTGCCTAACTACGTTACATATGACAATACTGTAGTAATGTCCTTTCTGTGGAGTCTCATTTCAGTTTGTTTTGTCTGCAGGACTCTCCACTTAAAGCCGTTCAGATGTTGTGGGTAAATCTGATTATGGATACACTGGCTTCTTTGGCTCTGGCAACGGAACCCCCAACAGAAGCGCTCCTGCTGAGAAAACCTTATGGACGAAACAAGCCACTCATTTCCAGGACTATGATGAAGAACATCTTGGGTCATGCTGTTTACCAACTTATCATCACATTTACTCTTCTCTTTGCTGGTAAGAGGCTTCTGTATTCATGAAGTCCAAATGAATGTCAATAATAATAATAACTATTATTAATATTATTATTTACTTTTTATGGCACTTTGAACTATAATGAAAACTCAAATGGGATGGATGGTTGCTTAGCAACTATATATATAATATTGCTTTATATTTGCAGTATTCAAAGCATTAGAATTTGCCTCAACCACCCATAAGTTTTACCATGAAATGTCGGTATTAGACAATGGATCTGAAGGTTTGTCTCTCTGCATAATCATTTCTTGACATGACTTTTATAAAATGCTTATTTGCAAAATTTTAATTCATATTATTTTAATAAAATTTGCATTTGAGTTTTTGTGAATATAGTAGTTAAAATTTAAGACCATTATTGCAACTCTGTAGACTGATGTTAAATGTTGTTCTTGCCATTAATGAAAGCTAAAAGCTCATTGCCTTGTTCTCTGAATTCTCTCTTTTTTTAACTCTAATGAATGTTAGGAAGATAGTATCATATATATATATATATATATATATATATATATATATATACACATACATACACAGTATCTCACAAAAGTGAGTACACCCCTCACATTTTTGTAAATATTTTATTATTTTATTTTTCTAATTCAAATTAGCCCGATTTATATATATATATAAAAAAAAGACCAATCTTAAAAAAACATTGAAACTACTAACTTGTACGACTAGTCTGAGCAGTTTATGCAACCAGCCACTGATGTGTTTAAAACCAGTAAAACCAGCTGTTACCACTGTATTTTAAAAAATAATACACCCGAGGTTGTACATTACAGCTATTTTCACCACAACTACAGAGGTTTAAATTAATCCAAATAACATCTCTTAACCATGTTGAAATTGCTGTAACTGTCTCTCGTGGCTTATTGCTGGACTAATGGAATACACCTTGTTACAGATAATCATAGTGCAGTTTGGAGGGAAGCCGTTCTCTTGCACGGCCCTCACCATCGATCAGTGGCTCTGGTGTGTCTTCATAGGAGTTGGTGAGCTGCTTTGGGGCCAGGTAAGGCAAATCCTTACAGAATGTTGTTATTCATCACTAATCAGTACCTCAGTGGGAAAAAAAACTTCAAAGCAACTAGTTAGTTACATGAGCGCATTTACAGATGAGAAAGAGAGATTCACAAGCTTCTCAGTGGTGAAAGAATGAAAACATCACGGCAGAATGCACATGCGTAGGTGATGTGGAACATCTTTAGTTCTCTCTTCAATCCCACTGGGAGGGCAGGGGAGGGGGGGGTGAAGCTGTGTGCGATTTCAAACCCGTAGGAGGGAACGAGGGAGGCTGGCAGACGGCTACTTCCTGCACAATTCCAGAGCGGTTGCCGCCATCTCAAAGTTCGGCTCAGAAAGAGTACGGAGAGCTGTGAGTTTTATCATCAACCCGGCAGCACAAGAAAGGTCTTCTGCCTCCATACATCCATGCTTACAGTACACATAAAACTCCATATGCAGGACTGATGCATCATGTTAGGTCATCAAAAGGCCGGGGAAGTTATCAAGTACAGATAAAGCCTTTAGAGCTGCAAGCTGTCTGCTCTTTCTGGCAGTTGCATCACACATAAGCCATTTCCTACTGGGTTTCTCAGCTGGTGTTTGTGCATGCAAGCTTTTGTTTGTGCGTATACACACGTGCAGCCTCACAAACCAGATGCTGAGAACTTAGACATGGAGGAGAAGCAGCGTGCATTCTATCCACTATGTATTAAGTTGTCTCTGTGATCTCTCATATAAAACAGCATCAACAGAGGCACCTACAGGGGGGATTGCACAGAAATATCTAGCTATTTTTGAGCTACTATAGGTGATAGAGACTTTCATGTGTTTGTGTTTGTGTATGTGCATGTGTATCTGTGTTGGGAAGCTCCTTTGAAACTGTAACTTAACAATTTAAAGAGGTTAAATTACTTATTATTTAAAGAGGTTAAATTATTATTATTGTTTAGCTACCAGAAAAGTTACTAATAAATAGTACCTATCTGCATTTAAGCCATGGGTGACTTAAATTAAATGTATGACATTAAATGGGTGTCTTCTGAAATATAAAACTGCATAATTTATTTTCAATCAGAGCAGTTATTCATCTGGCACAAAAAAAAAGGATTTCAATCAGTGACCGAAGTAAACTTGAAGAGATAAATGATAAATTTAAATATGTCTAATAAAACACTCTTGTTTATAGAATTGAATTAAGACAATTAACTAACAGCAGCATTTAACTAAATATTTCAGTATCAAACAAAAATAAAATGACATGCAGTGATTTAAATGAATTCAAATGAATTATCCTAAAGATATGATTTACTTGAAATTAATTTACTGCCCACATATACACAGGTACTGCTCACCAAGGCTGTTTATTTGATCAAAAGTACAAAAAAACTGTAAAATTGTAAAATATTATTACAATTTAAAATAACGATTTTCTTTTTTTTATATTTTTTTCAAATATAAATTATTCCTTTGATGGCAAAGCTGAATTTTCAGTATCATTACTTCAGTCTTCTGTGTCACATGATCCTTCAGAATATGCTGCTTTGGTGCTCAAGAAACATTTCTTATTTTCTTATTTTCAAAGGTTTTGCTGCGTAACATTTTTGTGGAAACAGTGATACATTTTAGTTCCAGGATTCTGTGATGAAAAGAAAGTTGAAAAAGAACAGCATTTATTTGAAATACACATCTTTTGTAACTTCTTTTATGTAAAAAATATTTTCTGTCACTTGATCAGTTTATTAACCTCAAGTTGTAGTATATATTCATGTGTTGGTGAATAGTTTAATCACAAAATTGGGGAACATTTTTTCAGGTAATAAAACAAGCTTGTTCTGTGTAGTTTGTACAGAAAAATTTTCAGCCATTATAAAAGGCCTTATTGCTTTTAAACATAAAAAGATCTTGCGGTCAAATGCCATAAGGATTCATTAAAACTCTGCATTTATGCACCACATTCTCAGCATCCTGTTCTCGGAAAGCCGTTCATAATCTCAACCGCTGTGCTAATGACTATTTGATGAGTTACAGTTGCCATCACTTGACCCTATTCCACTTTTTTTTCTCGTCCTCCAGTTCATCTCTGCTGTCCCCACGCACCGCCTCAAATTCTTGAAGGAGGCTGGTCATGGCATCCCCAAAGAGGACATCGCCGAGGAGGTACTAACTGAAGGTGCGGATGAAATTGACCATGCTGAGATGGAGATGCGCAGAGGACAGATCCTATGGTTCAGAGGACTCAACCGCATCCAGACTCAGGTATGCTGCTCTTTGCTACTTCTCTCCTTCCTGTCTCTTCCAGCAGATGCCCCAAGACAGAGTAGAAAAGGCTTAAATACAGCAGTGACCTATACACCACTCTGCCACTGTAGATGTTGTTTGGAGAAAATGTCTTTGCTCTTTGACATCTTACTGTTGAACAGTTGCTACGCCACTTTTTTGTTTCTACACTTAAAAAAAAATACAAATCAAGCAATTTTGTATTGATCCTTATGTCATAGTCAGAATTATATTTTTAATATTTTTAAATTCTTAACATTTAATAAATTATGGATACAGAAAGAGATTTGAAAAATGTACAATTTATTATTTGTTTAGCTAAATAAAAGATCATTAATCAGTGGGATTAATGTATTCAATCTATTTTGCCCAGTATTATCATCAGAATTTTCTGATCTGCCTAAAAAATGGGATAAAATCATTTGTAGCATTTCATTGGTTTGTTTTTAATTTGGAACAAGCTCCAAACACCATGTATGTTGCTCAAAACAGCTTTATTAGTGAACATTCTAGACAGCCGGTGGCTGTTTTTGTGTAGACATCACCCTAGTGGCCTTCAAGCATCTCCATGGGTTCATTTGTGGAAAAGCATCTCCCTTAAGGCTTAACAGAGACTTGTGAACTGCTTAGGTGCCCCAGGTTGAAAAGCAACATGTGCCCTGGAGATGACACTCATGAAATGCCAGTGGGGCAAGCCATGTCGCTCTGACTGTATGCACAAACTGCCTGGAGATAACTGGGGACTGTACAGCAACATTCACTTGCTTTCATCAGAAGATGTACAAGTAAACGACTGGGAACTGACTTTATTTTTTATTTTTGTAAGCTCTATTGATGGAGGCCGTGTGGGAGGACCTCCTTTCACTTACCATTGCCTTCATACATGACACATTATTGCTGCTTACGAACAATGAGTGCATTCAGTGAGAGGGTTCACAGATGTATTTATCTGGATCCTCCAGGAGTGTCTGTGTGTGGGTGGGCGATCATTCTGAGAGGGCGTTCTGTGCCTATTAAGAATGTTCTATAGCAAACACTATGGTAAACCACCCACCAAAGACTGTCAGTGTATTCCACAGGCACTGATTTATCCCTCTAGATTTGCTTCCTGTCACTTCTGAAAACAACATATTAATTTTAGCTTTGTTTTCATTTTGTATCATTAAGAAATGTGTAATTTGCCTTTCAGTATTGTGCCAGGTCATGGGGAATTCATGTTGCCGTATGGGATCATCTTGAACCCTTTTCTCTTTTGTTCTTGTTCTTTCTCCGTTCTTTGTTACAGCTCTCATCATATCATTTTGGTGTTATGAATCAATATATTGGAGTAAAAGATCAATATATTGATATGTTTGAGAAATTAGATTTGAAGTGAATGAGACATGAAATAAACAGCCTACATTGCATCGTTGAAAACATTTTGTTATCCCTTTATCTAGCCTAATCGTCTTTAAATGACTTGTTCTTGCAAAAGTTGTTTTGAGGATAACAGAAAAAAAAACAGCTGTTTTAATTGATCTTTTTAATAATATAATCTGTAATAGTCTGGGATCACGCTAAGCATAACAGTAATTAAACAAAAACATTTTTTATTTAATAATTTGTTTCACTGTATGAATAATTGTATATAATTTAGGGATGCACGATATTGGATTTTTGCAGATATCCCATTGGATATTTGTCAATTTTTCAACTCATTTGGCCGATTGCCGATGCTAATATATTTCCTTTTCTTTGGAAACACCAAGTCTCTCCTGTGCAGAGATTATAAACAAATTATTTATAATTTTGTTTAGTTTTTAACAAAAAAGAAAATATTTAACAATAATAACAATAAACAATAATGAAGTTCTTTGATAATGAGAGTACATTGAAAGCTTTGAAAATAACTATAAATCTTCAAAAAAAAATTCCAGACAGATGCAGTGGTAACCTTAACATTTTAATTGTAGATTTAACATTTGCAGATGGTCTAAAGCAAGAGTTGTACAAATTCAGAAAATCTGAGCTCCTTGTATTTAAGTTTTCATAATCTGTTTGAAAAAAAATTATTTGTATTACACATTAATAGATAAATCTGTACAAGTGTCATGTTTGTGATTTTTATTCATGTAAGCAATAGCTTCTGACCTTTAAATATCAAAACATACTCTGATTTTGTGTATTTTACTTTCATTTTATTAGAAGTAGGCCAACAGCGCCCCCTGAATAAATAAAAGGCGGATGGTCATTAGGTCCCGGGGGAAGCTGCAGTTGTTGTTGCTACTGCAGGTGCTAGTCACTGTTGACACTATCGCACAACAGATGCATCATGTTTGCATTTTAAGCCATTATCGGCCGATTCTGATAACGTTCCGATAATATTGTGCATCCCTAATATAACTGTATAATTTTTAACAAATTTTTCAAAAGCCCTTACAACAAGAATCCTTTTTTCATTTGTCAATTAAGTTTTATGCTTAAAACAAAGGCGGGGGGGGCGGACTATTTATATATATATTATATTCTAATATTAGGAACTATTTGCTAATGGCATTGCAAATAAACCTTTTCAAATAAATTACTTCGATTATATATTATATTTTGTATATAGTATATCATGTATTTTATCATAGATTTTAGATATTTTAATAGGCAAGACAAGTATTTTTCTAATCTAATTGATTTATTTTTTTTTATTTAAAATTTTTCTAATTTTGCAGTCTTCTATATTGTTCCCATATTATCCTAAATTTCAACAGTCTTAAATAGTGTACTTTCATTTTCATTGTACAATCTTCTTTTGTCTTCTAAGTCAGTCAGTTGGACAGTAATGTGTGAAGGGGAGGGAGAGTTTTAATGTCTATGTGCCCTGGATACGTCCAGACCCCCTGTGGTTTCAGATCACCATCCCTGCTAATTCTACCAGACTTCCCTCCAAGCCCAGATGAAAAAGAGGCCAAACAATCTTCTCCTCATCCTCCTCCTCCTTCCCTTCTCCCACCCCTTCACTCTTATTCCAGTTTAGGAGCTGGTGAAGTGACCGCAAAAACACTAATCTACTAATTAGCTCCTTATCTCTCCCCCTCGCCCAAAGTCCCACCACCCCACTTTTAAAATCCTCAAGGATTTCTATTTTATATCTGTCATGCATGGTTAGTGGAAGAAATAATTGGCACACGTACGATTCAGACTCATCAGTACTTCTTAGAGCTAGTTTCCTTTGTACTCCCTTTCTTTTCACGGACATCTTCACAGCATTTCCTTTCTCCTGGAAAAAATATTTCTCCACATAAATCTTTCCTTTTTATCTGCCTGTGCCAGCCCTTCTCCTGTCGGACTCTGTACTAACCAAACTTTTTATTTGTGGGGTGAGGGGATGTTCTATTTTTCTCTTTCAAATATCTGCTCTAACCACTCCTTTTGGCCCTTGGTCTTTGTCTTTCTCTGTTTCCTTTTCTTCCTCCCTTTCTCGGTTTGTACCACCCCCCACCCCTCCCCCCCCGGTCCTCTCCCTGTTCTTTGCAGATGGACGTGGTTTATACATTCCAGACGGGCCAAACGGCGGTGCCTGGGGCCCTGCGTCGCCAGCCGTCCGTGGTCAGCCAGCACAACGACGCAAAAACTGTTTCTAGCCCCACCCATGTAGGGATTTCCTCTTCCTCCCTGTCCGCCAACTCTGCTGCGGCTGCTGGGCCGCCCGCCCCTGCTTCCTCTTCTACTACAGGCAGTGAGTGCCACATAACACACCGGCAAACTAGCAGTGCTGTTGCATGATGGCAATGCTGAATGCTAATGTGCTGAATGCTTTCACGACCTGCCTGTTACCCTGCAGTAAACCTGTAACCACCCTTTTAAAACTACTCTTCCTATCTCTCTTCCTCTCTTCATTCTTTTTTTTTCCAGTCTGTCCTCACAATCTCCCAACTAAAGCTCCTTATACTCATTTATGCCCCTATCTCATTCACTTTGCATTCCTTCCAACGCCTGAACCAGTGTGTTGTGTGTGATTTGAATGCGGACAGTCTTGTTGATGTCTGCATGCGAGTTACCAGTGCCAGGACCATTTTTTCAGGATGGCCAAACCTCATTTAATTATTTAGTTTCCTTTATTAGGAGAAAGGGGTTAATGGCTATACTGCAGGTTAAATAAATGTAAAAGTGTCAATTTTATTTTTATTTATTTTTTTCACTGTGTCCTAATTCCCCCTGACACAATGAAGGGTAAACTGATATAGCAATAAAAATATCTTCCAAGTAAGAGTTGCGAACATCAGCAATGGCATGCATCAAGATATTTTGACGGATGTTACAATTACAATTTTTAATGCATTTTGCAGTGTAATTCCACAGACAGTGATATCTAATTGGCCAAAACCAAGTAAATATGACTAGTAAATATCAACACATTGGGCCTAGTTCATGAAATACAATCAGAATTCTTAATCTTTCTGTTAAGTAGGGACAGTCGTGGCCTAATGGTTAGAGACTTGTAACCCGAAGGTCGTGGGTTCGAGTCTCAGTACCAGCAGGAATTGTAGGTGGGGGGGTGGTAAATGTACAGCACTGTCTTCCACCCTCAATAGCATGACTGAGCTAGGCACCGAACCCCAAAACTGCTCCCAGGCGCCGCAGCAAAGATGGCTGACCACTACTGTTCATGGTGTGTGTGTGTGTGTGTGTGCGCGTTCACTACTCAATGCTATGTGTGTGCACTTGGATGTGATAAATGCAGAGCACAAATTCCTAGTATAGGACACCATACATGGCTTCACGTCACTTTCACTGTGACAATTCATTGCAACAATTTATGCAAGAATGGTTTTACAAACATTTTGCACAAATTATTCTGCTTGTGTGTCATGAATTCTGCTTTATGATGTTATTTATCATAGTTATCATTTGCACTTTGGGTTGGATGTGCAGACTTTTCAGACTAAAATGCAGTACAGCTCTAAATAGCTATAATTTATACATCAAATATGCTCTGATTGGTTACG